GACCTATGCAAAATACCATGCTTCCAAGGTGAGAACAGCTTCCCTGTTGATAGCTCCACTGGTTCTGCAGGGTATTGTGTAGCTTCGGCACTCAGGGCCACTGCAAGAGTCAGGCTGGCGCTGTATGTGGGTGGAGACTGTCATAAGCCCTGAGCTGCTCCACTGCAGCCGGCGGATCGATTGAAGCCGTTAGCGCCATACCCCTGCTCGACGCGCGAACAGAATTTGCTGAAGACCGAAGTGGAAGGGGGGGCCTGACCAGCTGTGACCTCACGCACTTTCCAAATGACGAGACGGGCCAGCCAAGCAAAGTAAGAGTAGAGAAAGAGAGCAAGATTATCCGAGTTCGTCTTTTCATTTTCAAACTATGTCATCATACCTTCACAGGAAGCGCATGTGCGGGCTGAAAACACCCACCATTCGACGTTGTTTTTAGCTGCACTGCACACACCTCTAGCGAGGCGGCGTCTATCGCGGACTGTGGACGCGGCACCAGACATCGCTAGCAGGGGTTTTGCGGCTCGCGCGGGCAGCGGAAGCATCGCGGCAACTCCAGGTTTTTTTAACGCCTTACCGATCGACTCGGAACCTAGAAGCGCCGTCTAGCGCTTTGAGGAACGCGATTCGCACAACATGGCGCCAGGAAATGTGCGTGCATGGCAACCGCGTGGTGTTGCGTCCAGTATGTATCCAGTGCCATGTGTGTGGTTTTCCAGTAACCTGTACCAAGGTTTGGAACGTCAGATTGCACGAACAGCATTCGGCTGTCTTCTATGTGGTATCGCAAGAAGCAGGGACACGGATGACTATGGATTTTGACGTCGCTGGGGTTTCTTTCACGGAGGCGGAATCTCTTCTTGCCACTAGGCTGCGAGATTGCACCGGCGTGATTGTCAGCCAGCCTAGCAGGTAATGTGTGTCATGAGCGTCAATGTCAACCCACGTTCCTCTTACCCATATACTGCGTGGACTTCTGGCATTGTCACAACCGAACGTCCAATAAGCTACATGGGTCGGTCAGTGCTCAGCCATGAAACGTTCCTTCGTAGGATTGTTTCGAGAACTTGGTCCCCGTGACCTTCTCCGTATGACCCATGTCAACCACGCATATTGGGTCTCGCTTTATGTTGTACAAACTTGCCAACCGATGCACCTTCCTTCCCGTAAAGTTGGTGCGGCTGGTCGCATGGTAGATTGCTGACTACTTAGATTACACGTGGATCTTCCGGTCAGCTCACTGCAGGAACACGGCGGGTGCGCGGCACAATTGGTCGTTAATTATTGAGTTCAAGCGATAAATCCCGCGTTGCTGTGTGGGCTAGGCATGGTCGAGCACTGCGGTGGGCGAGACTCGATGCCGTGGTACAACAGGCTGGTACTCGTCAGTGACAACCCGTTGTTGGACCGCGCGGAAACAGGCTTGGCCTTTCTCATGATGTTATTGGGTTGATGAGTTGACCAATGGAAGATGAAGCGATGCTCGTATAGGTATGCCGTCAATCCCCAGCAATACATGCAGACTGTATAGTCTATGTGGAGGTGATTGCAAAGATATGCCGATGTTGCAATGGCCCAAACTGCGACCCGACTGATGTGCATTGCAGCAGAATGTCTCAGTCGAGATGGCCCTGTCCGGCCCGGTACAGGTGACTTCTCCCTTGGTTCCGCGGCATGGAGCATGGAGGCCGAGCGATGATGGCTAGCCATAGTGGGGTGTGAAGGTCCCGTCCCGTCGCATATGAGGGTTGTCACTCGCATAGGACGAGCGTCACCTGAGTGGCGCCTGGGGCAGAACGTCTGTCGCACGATCCCTTCCTCTTTGATTAGATGTCGTCATGCACAGTTCGTCGTGTCGAGCAAGTCGCTGATCGTATCGCCTGTATCAGTGCGGAGGAGGGGAAGGATGTTAGGGGCCAAAACAACGTGCAGCTGCTGGCTGGCTCAGACCCAGAATCCCGGGTTAGGCAGCAAAGGTCGCCGTTATTGCGACGGGTCTGGGTTGAAGGGTAAGCGAAAAGAGACGCGTCGAAACGAGCACGGCCAGATTGGGGAGGTCGTTGGAGGATCGTGGTGGGAGAGAGCTTGGCGGCCGTGACGTGTGGGGCCTAGCGCGCTCGAGGGCTGCAACCAACGAGCCGACGTGGCTCGAGCCAGATAAGACAAGGCCACACGGCCAAACATTAAGCGCCCATCACAACGCTACGCGACTAGTCTCTGGAGTACACGGACAGGGAGCAGAGACAAGTTCCGGGATTGATTTGCGATGTGGGTCGGCAGCGATGCGTGATGTGGTGGAAACGCTCCAGCTTAGCATGAGCAGCATCCGTCCACTGACCTTGTTGCTATAGCTGCCCCAGGGTAGTTTTCGACTGAAATCACAGGTAATATAGCCCGCGAAAGAGCATGCTGCGTCTAATTAGTAGCATCGTGGGTCCGTCCGCAAGCTATCTCACCGTGCCACCTCCCCAGCGTATCGTTGGCCAGTCAGATGCGGCCTGCGTGAATTCGCTCACATCGAGGGCGCTTAACATGCACCATACCTGCAACACTTCACAAACAGCCCACATCCATGTAGACTTGATCTGACAAGGGTCGCGCTTCGTGGCTTGCGGTAGTGGTCCCCGGCGTATCCCCGCCTAAGGTGGGTCGTACGAAAAGACGTTGTGGACAGTGCCGGCTTATTGCAGCCAGTCTCCTTGGATCGATCTAGGTGGCGTCCTTCCAGCCTCCTAGACTGCTAGGGTACCATGCTAGAGGAGCTGGTCATGATTTGAGTTTTGTGCATTGAAGAGGTTTCATGGTGTAGTGTGAACGAGCGTGATCATATTCTCCTAGTAAACAAGAGGGGCCATTATGCGATGAAGCAGGGCAACCTTACCACGTAGCTACAGTTTTTCTATTGCTCTCACATTCTTTGGAGTGCACTAAAACGCCATTGTTACAAATTTCCACCCACGCAATGTAAAGAAAACCTTGAAACAAGACAGCGATACAATTTGCTACAGCCCATAGTGGAATCTTCGACTGAACGAACTGCTTCCGACGTATCTCCCCATGCTGGATGTATCAAGTGCTGGTACAGGACAGTCCTCGCTGATCGATGCAGAGTTAACCTATGCCGTCGATCAGAGTTTCGAACGCGTGAAAGCTGCGTCATCGGCATGCACTTGGGTGCGGCGACTGCATCCATCTTCCTCGTGTCTTAGAAGTTGTTAGCAAGATGAAATGAACATATAATTAGGTTACTACTGACCTGCTGAGCGTGTCTTTACGAGGAAAGGTTGCAGGGCACCTTGAACACTTCCAAGGTCTGTTGTCTGTGTGCACACTCTGGTCGTGGCGAGCCAAATCTGTCTTGCGCACAAAGTGTTTGTCGCACTGAGGGTGTGGGCAAACATTCGGCCTCTTTCGCTCAGCCGCATGTGTAAGCATGTGCTGGTTGAGGTTGTATTTCCTAGCAAAACCCCTGTCTTTGCAAATCAGGCAGTGGTAGGCAGCATTGGCGGGATCAGTGTGCCTGCGGTTGCGTGTTCGTTTTGCGACGGCAGTTCGAGGAGCTCGTGCAGCCCGAGCTCGTGCATTGGCAGTCCTGATCACTGTTGACGCCTGTACGGGGCTACGGTTGCTGTAGTTGTAAACCGGCGCCGAGTCGTATCCAGGCATAGCTGGTGATGGATACGCACTCTCGTAGGAGTACATGTGTGTGCTAAGCCGATCGGGAGCTACTGTGAGTGGTGGATGCCCTGATAAGGACTGACCACCCATAGTAACTGGCACTTCTGTGCCAAACTGGATGCGAGCTGCTGGGTTCCATGTCGGGCCCTCTAACTTGATACTAGAGTAAGAGTCCGGCTCTGAGCCATCGTGCGAATAAGCAGCAGACATCGCGCGTTGACTGTACACGTCTGGGGATGTAGGAGGTGTGTCCTGGGCGGAACTCCACGGTACTGGCGAATGGGGGACTGGGTGATCGAAAGCTCCTGACAGATAGGGATCTGCAGTGGCCTCTGCCGAGGTGCCGTTGGGATACTGAGCGCTAACCCAGCCTTCCGATTGTGGGGGAGACGATGAAGGGAGAGTGTTCGGCATTGAAGGGTGGACTGGATATAAACCAAGACCATGTGGGTAGCTGGGCCGCGGCTCTTGTTGTCTTGGTGAAGGATAGGGTGACTCAAGCAGGGAGCCTGGTTGAGATGTGTGTTGTTGGTAAGGCGAGTTGAAAGGTGGCGTGGGCTGGTCCGCGTACGAGTACATGATGAAAGAATCTCAAAGGGATGAACGTAGTCCACAAGTCTTTGAAGTCAAGTAGGTTGGCGAGGAATGAAGACAGGCAAAGATAGAAATGATGTGGTAGAAGCTGGATGAGGATGCCAACTGCAGGGCGTTCCGGGACGAGTTATATCTGTACGATGCAGTGCGTGACTAACTCCAAGATGGAATTGATTTGTATACTGCGCCAGTGCGTTCTCGGAGCCTACGTTAAACAGTGGGCTCTTGAGTGTTAGGCAGATTCTGAAATTATGCTAGACAGGGCAGCATGAACAGAAAGCTCGAGCCGCCTACGCGGCAGGCGCCTGTTAGCTTCATGGGGCTATGAAAGAGTGGCAGGGGGGCGGTGGATGCAGCTCGAGACCGGGGTATGTGCAAGTGAACCAGACAGCCGGGTAGCTAGGCCTTAGCGGGCCGAACACAGGCATCCTTGCGCCGACCGGACTTTGAGGCGCAAGAGGAGAGGGCGGTTGTACCCTTGCTCGATGTGCATCCCCATGAAACTGGCCAGTCTGGCAAAGGATGTCCCGTCTGTATCTGACGTTGATCGTTCATTCATGTGTCACCCCAATGCCGTTACCAAAGTGAGACACCAACACCTCAACTCCATACGCGCTTGTTTGAGTAGCTCTTGGGATAGACAGATCAGATCAACTTGAATTTTAACCGGATTTGCAGTGCTCATCCTTAGCAAAATGTACCTATATGTCCGCGGCTGCAAGCGCCGGCCATCAAGCGACCGATGTGCTCGCTTCGCGCTGCTGCTGGAGCTGCGACACCATCGCAGTAAGTTCTTCAACTTGCGTTGAAAGCTTAAGGACTAGTGCCTTCAATGGAGCATCGGTTTCTGTAGACCCTGCTCGTGCCTGGGGCTTCTGGGGCTTCCTCGCAAATGAGTTTGGTGCTTCCGCCATCAATAGGCGTGGAGAGTTGACCGGCAACCGAAGAGCCTTTTTTGGTGGGGTTGGTGTCTGCGGTCCGCTGAAAGATGTCGCTTTCACATCGAGATTACGGGTATCGGTCAGCTGCTCGTAAGCCCAGATTGCAAATACAAGAGGTAGATGCGTGGCCTTGAGCAAGACGATCCGGACGCTCCTGAGTCGCTCGGAGGGGATGACGAGCCGCAACGGTCGAATGACTAGCGGAATGAGATTCTGGAAGCCGGTCAGCCTTGCAAAGTTGAGCACGGCTGTGGATACCGCTGCGTTGTGGGTTCGCAGGGATTCACAGCGGCCTTGAGTCGAGAGAGCCTGAGCGCCAGAACAAGGCTTGTCAGTGACGTGACAACGGCAGAGCATCCGCCGACGATGCTTCCTTCACGAGCCGGCCACGAAGCTTTGACTGGTTGGTTCTGAGCGCGTCTTCCACGATAGCCATAGAGGCTGTGTCGATTGGGCGTTGAACGACCCGGCGCTTAATGCCCGCTTTTAACCTCCCCATAATAATAGCACTGAACAACATACTTACCAGTGGAGGCAGAAAGTATGTCAATCGATTTGAGCTGGATGCTTCGAGCACGTATACGGAATAGCTGCATCGTCAGTGCCTGAAGAAAGTTGCCTTGGATCATGCCGACGTACATGAACAAATATTCATCTCGCGCATGATCGAGAACCTGTCCACCGTCAATATCGATCCTTTGGAAAGTAATATAACCAGAGATGATAAGCTATAGCCGGTTGTTCATGGGGTCAGGGCAGTCAGTGCCTGCGAGAAATCTCCTGTTGCAGTCCCAATCGGGCTGTATCACACCCCCGTAAGACCAACCGGAAAAAGTCAAGTGCTAACCCCAATGCGAATGCACTCTGGGGAGACTGCAATGGAGATGAGGCGGTCCAGTCGGGAGTTAACCGTTGTTTTGCGCTTGGCATGCACAGACATGCATGCGATTTGAGGTTGCAAAGCAGTGAGGACCAATGGAAAAACCCATTACCTTACTCAACGAGTTGCTCAAAAGCGATATGAGGCTTGTAATCAACAAGATGTTTGTCAAAGTGACGAAAACAAGCTAGTGTGTGATCAGCAGACCGCGATGCGATGCATTCCAAATAGTCAGACTCGTACCATCACAGGAGGTCCGAAGAACGGCGAGCTATGCAGGCATTAGCAAGCCATTGGCACTGTTGATCGGAGGAGTGCATACATCTCTTCGGCGACATCTGCAGGCAGCTGTCGTCAGTACTGGTGGACAAGAATCGGTGTATGCCTTCGCTTGGCCGTTGCCTGAGGCTTGACTCACCGAAACCTAGGTAGCTAGAGCTGAGAAGGCATTAGCTGGTATAGCAACAGTGGCGTGATGTTAACCATTACCCGAAGAAGACCTTGATCAGGATCCAACTCTACGTTGCACGAGTCAGCAGTTGGCACGTCGGTGACCCCGATAGACAACTTGCCATCTGCTTCGCATTGAATCTACTATCTCTAGCCAGCAGTACGAAAGTAGTTAGAAACCCTTTATATCGGTGAGCATTGGCTGCAGCTACTAAAGCGTCGGACGCCTTACCCAGGTACAGGATGACTACCAGTGACAGGAATTTGATGAAATCCTTGGTCATTTCTTTGAGACACGGAATAAGGGTGCCAAAATATCGATTGAGACTCAAGAGAGAGAAGATACGCGGCACGAGGAAGAGAGCCTCTAGTCCGAGTACGTCATAGGCAAGATCGATGGTGGTAGCGTTGGCTGTAGTCAGACCAACAATCCTCATAATGCAGAAGACAAAGCCCACGACGACGATACTGATGTCCCAGGTCCACCTAAAGACGTTAGCCTCCATCAAAATGGCGATGAGAAACGCATGCCTACCAAAAGTCCGAGGCATAGAACGAGCTTTGCCCTGCGTCTAACCAATCCGAAAATTCATCGTACGCGAAGCTGGCAATCCACACGTAGAGCAGTATCTCGGGAATGGTTACTCGGGCGTTGTTTCGCTGCACTAGAACTGCGTAGTACAGCCCTAAGAATGCCGCAAAAAAGAGTGTCTCGAAAATCTTCAAGTACAACGGAACGCGTAGCCTGGAGAAGGGATCGGCCTGCTTTCGGTTGTACTTTTTGGGCTTCTTCTCTGAGTGTAGACTGAGGGTCTCCCAGAATACGATGTCGCCTTTCCACAAGCCATTTATGATTTTCTGGACTGGTCTCTGGGACAGGAACTTCTTCGCACCAGATACAGTCGCAAGCTCCAATGCACTGAGATTCTCGCATTGTGACATCAGCGATCCGAAGCGAGATCTGGGAGAGTCGCCGCGGCTGAAGTAATCGGTGTTGGATACGGGAAGCAAAGGCGACCGCTCGTCGGCATGTGTGGTGTCGCGTTCGTTCTCGCCCGAGTGGTAGCCGTTCGGTGGGTTGGAGGTGGCCGGCGTCGTTGCCGGCGGGAGTTCTACTAGCAGAGACTCGATGATGTCGGCTTCTTTCAGGTTCGTCAAGAATTGCCAGGCTACGAATTCGCATGCGTAGCCTCGCGCTTCGTTCACACCAGGCTCGTCGCTGGTTTCCTCCAAGGCAGAGAAATGTCCCTTCAGGGCCCTTCAATATGGTCAGCGCTCTCCACTCCGGCATGCAACCATCTGGCATTGATAAAAGCGACCTGGGTTGCCTCGACGTACAGTAGAGCGGATACGAGGGCAGGGTGGTCGACTTGGGTAGACAGGTATGCGATGAGAGGCTGGACTGCCCGGCCCTCCTGCGATCGACGCAAATCTTCGAAGGTATGTGGCAGCTTGATCTTATGCTCAAAGAACCTACTCTCGGGTTAGGCTACTGGTCAATTGCGCATTCACATGCATCGACTGACTGGCACAGTTTGTCTACCAGATCTCCGAAGCACTCGTCGCCGGCTATCTCTGGCACGCCCGTTTCGTCTGCAGGCCATCTCGGTGTGGACGGTATCGACATGGTGGGTTCTTATGATAGCTTGCGATTGCCCTCTGCCACTTCCTCCAGTCTTCGCAACATTGAGAGATTCGCGACGCGTTAGGCGCATGGACCTCGGGACCCGCGTCATCATGGCTCTCTTGGCAGCCACCATCTGTCTCCGCGACTGCAACCCTCGACTTCGCTGCAGCATACAGCATGCTCTGAAGCTGTCGTGTACACGACATGCGACTTTATTCACACAGCCTTTCGCTCGCACTAACTCACATGTGAACCGCCGTCTCAGGCAACATGACGCACGATGCTAATTTCGTCGGCAATCGTCTACGGCTGAGCGCCTTTCTTTCATGTGTGGGAGGGATGCCAGACCGTCCGTCGCGTTTTAAACCGCCTATACAAGATCTGGACGTGGTAGACTCCGCTGCCCCGTTCTCCAGATTACATCGCGACGTGTCAGTCAAGGAACCGGCCAGGGAGCCAGCAATCTTGCCCTCAGGATCATCTGCCGAGGCAGAAGTCATCGGAACCAACTTGTGTGAGGAAGCTGCAGCTACCGACAAGCCGCTGGATACCAACATCGAAGAAGATCGATCTGTCTTGGTTGGTCTCGCGAATGCGCCATCTGTTTACGAGATCCCACGTTCATCACCACCAGACCTCCGTCTAGCCTCTGTTAGCGGCGGCACACAAGGACTTCGCAACGGGCTTTCGAGCACTCGGAAACGGCGTCTACCAGTACATGAGCTCGCTTTGCTGCGGACTACTACACTGGATGGACTACCCCTACCGGGTGTAAGGAGCTTCTACGGGTTTCATCGTCGGTAGCTTGCGGCCAGCTAACGCTGTTGACTTTAGGATGTTACTCTCGACGTTGCTGCTCCCATTGCGGTCGTGGACCCTATCGAAGATAGCCAAATACGTCTTACAAATACGTTGCACATCTCCGTATGTCAACGATAGTCAACGCTGACACTGCTGACCTTCACGCAGACTTCAGGCGGCGTCATCATCACGAAGAGTAGGCTGATACCGAAGACAACACAACCGCCAGATTCCGTCGGCCGTCCCAAGACCGAACCAATGGCAATGCGCACAGAGCCCCTGGAGAGACCCACGCAACTACCTGCTAACATGCAGCGATATTGTCCAAACCTTCGAGATGCTTTTGACGGGTTTGTCGGTTCCGAGCTAAAGCTCGTTCCCAAGAAAAGTGTCAACCGCCAAAGGATCGCCAATCCGACCAAGAGACAGAAGCCCGGTATCAAGCGCGAACTAGTTCTACGAGCTGGGTCACCACCTTTATCGGCGGGTTGGGCTACGACTACCGCAAATGCTTTAGTTGTCGGCAAAACACCTATGATCGTTGGTGCGAACACTTCGTCAAGACTTGAAAACGCCCAAACTCACGTAGGACTCGGACAACTGACATTGACGAGATGTCAGAACGTTCTACAGGCTGGCACAGATGATCGACATGCCCCTGAACTGGGCGATGAGACACTATACGAGGAAGCTCACGAAGAAGATCGTGACAACGATGTTACTGCTGAGACTGGTCACTACCAGTCCAACCGAGTACCCACATCTTGAGACAAGATCAGCCGATTTTGATGTTCAACACACCTGGACGGTCAAAGCGAGACGGAGAGTGATGGCAAGATTGCCAGCCCTTATTAACGACGTTGACGATTCATATTACTCAGATTAAGACGGCGGGGGACCCTGGAGATCAGCAATGGGGTTGGAGAGTATAGAGTGATATGTACTGGGACAGCGAGCGCCTCCTGGGTATTCGGTAGACTCGGCTCTTGCATGCCTGACAGCGTTCGATGACAGACGTCAGGCCTCCGAACCTGCGAAGACTTCAAATTGCGAGCCGGGGAACGATGTGGAATAGACCACCAGAGGCAGTGTCAGCTAAAGCATACAGTCCAGGTATTCGTGGGGCTCCTTGAAACGCCTCGGTTCCTAAGTCGTAGCAATGTTCATGGATGCGGACTATGGTCCACGGCATACGTTCGCAGTCTCGGTGAATACCTGAGCAAGAGATGGACAGGATGAATGAAATAAATTTTAAGTCGCAAGCCGTTTGGTCCGTCGCAACATTGGCCTGATCGGGCTGTTTTGCAGCTGAGGTGTGACGTCGCTTTATTCGAGCATGTAAGCCAGCTACCGACGTCTGTGTGAGATCGATGACTTTGGCACTGCAGATTGGGGTCATCGAACATTGACATTCGATGTACAGGGCTCCCGTGGTCAGAACGTGGTATTAGTTCTTAACGTTGTTCTAGCGGCAGTCCCGAAATAGCGATCGGTGTCTCGGTTTCGCGATTCAGACACTAACATCAAACACCACACTACTGTTTGGACGCATGGACAAAACATAGCACAAGTGTTCTGCAGGCGTGTTGACACAAGTGGAGTGATGATTTAAATGGTGCGGCGCAACATATATGGTGGGCTTGCGCCTCGCTGCGCGAAGCTCCCCGTATCGCTTCGACGTCCTGGTACTCCGACTATTGACTAGTCTCGACTCTCATCTCCAACGCATCGCCTATCGCCGGCGCAAACTAGGTCCGAAAAGTCGAATAAACACAAGTAGCGATACCATGGCATCACAAGGCGGCATGCCACCTTCCGTGGTAAGTATACCCCACCCACAGGCTTATCTGATGGGTCTGGAACTTGGAGAGAGACAAAGTCGCTGACGTTGAAAAGGCATCACAAGCGCCACCATATGCTCCTATGGTATGGCCTCTGGGTGGTCCTCCAGTGAAACGCGTCGATATTCCTGCCCAAACTGTCTTCATGTTCTTCTTCATGGTCGGAGCAGCAGTACACATGAAGATATTCCAAAAGAACAGAGCACGAGGTCACAAGTTCTTACCAAACCTCTTCATCTTCCGTATGTATAGCCACATTCTGGATGAAATGGATGCTGACTATTCCGAAGTCTTCTGCATGGAACGCATATTGACATCAATCTTGCGACTCGCATCGGTCTCTAATCCAACCAACATTCCACTTGGGATTGCTGCACAGATCTTCATCGCAGCAGGTGTTCTTATACTATTCGTCATCAATCTCGTTTTCGCGATGCGCCTAGTAAGGTCGACACATCCGTCGGTGGGTTGGCATCCTGCGTTTGGCATCGTGTTCAAAGCTCTTTACGCGTTGATCGGCTTGACACTTATCGCTGTCATTACAGCTACAGTTCAGAGCTTTTATACTCCCAACGCAGGAACTCGAGCGACGGACCGCGGCTTCCAGCAGTACGGCGCAACCTTCCTGGCCATCGTCGCTACACTACCTTTGCCGATGACGGTGCTCACGCTTCTCATTCCCTATTCGCCGCTCGATCATTTCGGTATGGGCCGTCTTCGTACAAAAGTCATAGTCCTGATGATTAGCACCACACTCCTCTCTATTGGCGCATGGTATCGCTGTGGTGTTGCTTTCCAGACACCAGTCCCGAGATCACAACCTCTACCAGGGTATCTCGGCAAGGCACCATTCTACATTTTCAACTTCCTCGTGGAGATCCAGACGGTACTCATGTACGCCATACTTCGCGTAGACCTCCGCTGGCACATCCCCAATGGCGCAAAGGGGCCTGGTAGCTACGCTAGATCACGAATGGGTGACGTGGAAATGCAAGACTCGCGACCTACTTCCTCGGACAGCGTACAAGATGACAACAAGTCGGCCAGGTCTTTCAGTGAAGACGAAGAAAAAGAGTTGGAGAACGAGAAGGTGGAGGAGCTCCCTGCCCCCAGGATTATAGAGATAGATCTCGGAAACTCTTCGCGCAGCTCCCTGGCGCCACCAGACATGGACTTGAACAGGAACTCGGCCCGCAGCTCCCTGGCAGTACCAAAGACGGCAGATAGATCAGCGCGCAGCTCCATCATCTCCCAACGCCTATCCTCGTTCATCAGCAAGTCCACCAGCACACTAGCTACCTTTGCGACCGCGGAGCAAAAGCAACGATGGCGGGAGAGCGAGGAAGCGAGAATCGTCCGAAGACTGGGAGGGCCATGGCAGCAACTCCCTAGCCCGGTTGAATCGACCTTCAGCATGAGCAAAAGTCCGACGAGGAGCGTCTTCAGCCGTACAACAGGAGGGGATGGGCCGGAGGCGCCTGAACCAGCATATCACCAACGAAGCGATAGCGGTGCGCCTAGTATACCCGACGTCGTCGGAGAGGGTGGCTGGACACCAAGAATTGACTGGGAGTTCCGCAGCCCGAGACGCTTCCTCAGTTTGAAGAAGAGGAGTATGATCGGTTTGCAGCTTCCGAAGTGAGCGCCAGGACTTGAAGCGGATTGATGCGATATTTTTTACAGCGAAGGCGTTTGTGGGGATGGGAAAGGTACTAATACACTACTGGGCGGCAAAAGCTTTTTCTGGTGTTCATCATACCCATCTGCTTTTGCGCATATATTGGAAGTTTATACAAGCTTTATGACCTTTTGCTTTTTTCATGTAGCATGTACAATAGCAGTCATTGCATTCTTTCTATCGATACATGAACAGTTCCCGTGCGCCACATCGTTCACATTACGTCCATCTCCATCCTACCCACAGACTCATCGCCATACATCGCCACTTCATTCTTACATCAACAGCAACATCTCACGCGGTAGACCCTGACCCAGACTCACAAATAAATTTAGTGTGACGGCTCCCCTCCCAGCAACCCGGTCCCTGTACCTGAATCCCCAATCCAAAACAAATCAATAGTGCGAAACGAACATGAAGTTGCCTCAGGGAACGTTTGGTCTGCTGTCACCCGTTTCGAGGCGTGAACTAGGGGCCGCGCTAGTGTGTTAGCCCGTGTATGTGGATCGTTTTATGGGTTGTTGAACGTCGTTTGCATCGTTGTGTGTTTTGTCTCGGGGTCTGGAGGCCTAAGGATGCAAGAGCTTGAAGGGTTCTTTGAAATGTCAGTGCATCGCGCAGTGGCGGTTGGCAGGGACAGTGAGAAAAGTGTCATAAGATTGCAGGTACTCATCCAGCCG